ATGAATAAGAGACACGAGGCGCTTCTATAAGATTTGAAAATCATAACCTGGGAGGTCTCTGATTTTATAAGGGTATTGTGATGGGCAGACCAATTATTTTTGCAGACCACCTCTATCAGTCAAAATGCAATTTGAACTCTGCTTAAGTACATACACAAAGCCTGCTGTTTAGGACTGCTAAAGATTGTCCTTAGCTGTAATTCAGATTAAAATGTAATCAGTATAATTTTCTCTGTTCTTTACATGTCAGGTCTTGTAACTCACTGATGTGAGTATAATAATACATCACAAATCAAAGGAAAACAGATTTCATAAAAGAACAGACGTGTAGACATACACAGGAATATTAATTACTGAATAATTGAGAGAGAGAAGTACATGTAGCAAAAGTTATTAAAGTTTCCATAGTGGGGAAAAAAAAGCATATGGCCTTAGGCAGCTTTTTAAAACCAAATATAACAACCTTATGGGAACCTAAACTTATATAAATCCTCTCTTTCTAAGGATGGAAGATTGTTGTGTGCATTTCAGCAAGACATTTTACAGGCTCAATCATATTTGAAGTCTCATGTTGTGACCTGAAGTCTGCCTAGTGGTTACGAGTGATCCTTTTCACACCCACTTCTAATCTAAGTATTGAAAGTGGGGAGGAAGGGAGAGATTCCTCCTGCCCATCAGGCAGGAGAGAGATGACCCAGGAGACCTAACCAAAACCTTGACCTTAATGACACCATAGCTTCCCTGCCCTGTGCGGCTGTGGCCTCTCCCCTGGGGCAGGTGAAACAGTCAACCTTTCCGATGGGAATCTGGCATCAGATTCAGGTGGAGGGAAATGGGGACAGAGTCCATTTTGGGAGATGAAACTTCAAATAATGGTTTGCCCATTACAAATCGTACTGGGGAGAACAACAGTGAGAGAGCGGATGCTTCCCTTGGTGCCAGAGCCCACCAGGGTTACACGAAGTGTCTAGATTGGGATTTCAAGGGTTTCTGGAGTAAAGTAGTGAATCCTTTCCTAAGAGAGCAGCCTTGTCTGCACAGCTCTCTTCCAGAGACCTCCTGGCACCCCTGTAGTGCAGGGGTGGGCAAGGTGTGGCCCGCAGGCCAGATGCAGCCCACCAGGCCATTCTACCCAGCCCACAGGACCCCTACAAAATTTAGAAAACTAGTGTTTATCCACTCCTGGCTGCCTGTCACGTGGCCCTTGACGGCTTGCCAAAACTCAGTAAGCGGCCCTCCGCCCAAAGTAATTGCCCACCCCTGCTGTAGCGGCTGGGAGGGACATGGGGCAGCCAGCTTCACCTTGCTGTCCTCTGGAGAAGTGACCGCAGCAGGGGCTGGCATCCCATGGTAGCACTAGGTCTGCCAGCCTCCCTACCTCCTCCACAGCAGGGAGGGATTTGCGAGAGCGGTGCAGACTGCCCTGGCTTCAGGCACCTTTTCCCTGTCCCCTTGTGGTAAGGGCTGGTCTCCCGGTCCTGCCGGCCGGGGGCCTTACCTAAGGCCGGGCTGACTCCTCCCAGCCCGGATCTTCCGCACCCGCAGGGGCAGCCCCAGCAGGCAGCTCAGGGCCGTAGAGACGCGCAGGATCTGACCACCCTGCAAGACAGAGAGAGGCCCGGGCTGAGCGGCATCGGGGCCCCAGGCGGCCTCACCGCAGCGGCTCGCCGGATCCGTGCCCCGCGGCCCGTCGCCAGGGAGGGCCCGGCTCGCACTCACCCCCTCCATGATCCCACCATCCACCTCCGCCC